ACTGGGTAAACAACTGCTCGTTAAATTCTAGCAGAAATATCTGCGCCTGTGTGTTTTTGTGTATGCACTTGTGTGTGTTATTTCGTGTTTATATATTATATATATACATATATATATACATCTTGTTTATACATATGTATATAAAGAAGACACAACAATATATCTGTGTAGGGAAATGTATATGTATTTGTCTTTGTATTTGTGTGTACCTCTGTGTATGTATATTTTTGTGAATACCTGTCTGTATGTATGTGTTGTATATGCACGTGTGCATGTGTATGTATGTATGTATGTATGTGTGTGTGTGTGTGTGTGTGTGTGGTATTTGTTTGTTGTGTGTATTTTGTACTTTATACGACCCTCAAAATTCTTTAATGTGTTTTTCACTGATACATGCTAACATGCTCAGCTGTAGATGATCAAGAAAGCAAAAGGGGTATTGAAGCGTTTGTTTCCTAAAGAACGAACAACAAAAGCTGGGAAACGAATAGCAGAATCGTGCATAGGTTTACGGACAATACTGTTCTATCCAACAACTAGAAGATTCTATCTAGCACAGGCTTATTCATCGCAGCTGCTAGAAATAACTGACGTTTACAGCTAACATAGAGCACTAAAATAACATACTGGTAGTTCGAAGCATAGTATGAATTCGATGACTTGTTGAGGTTCAATCGTCATTTCCGGGAAAACGCAGTTAAGACGGATCGTTGCCCAAAATCATCGTTTGCTTCCAAAATTGATAGATTTGCTAGTGATAATCACTTATGCTGAAAGTTCATAAGCTATGAAAATTTTTGCTTCCAATTTCTAATATTTGACGGAAACGCAAAGCTCAGGAAATCGTAGTCGACAAGGTACCTAAATTTAGTCTAGTGTTGAGCAGATTTCAGCATCCAGGTTGACCATGGAAGTGCAGATGGCGAAGGTGTGAAGGAGTTCAAAAGGAAAAAAAAAATATTGGGAACTAGTACTGAACTGTCCAAATCAAGGTAATGTTGCTTAAGATACGACAACAATGGCAGTGATGGATCGTAGCCCAAATAAATGCATCTCAAAAGATCCAAATTCTTGCTAAATTGCTTCTGCCGGGAGACCGCTTGAATTGAAGTTCCTTCAAGAGAAGAAACGGACGTCAGGATTGTCAGCAGGCTGATCACCAGGCGATGCAGCATTAATCAAAGCTACTGAAAAGGTTGCTAATACTATAGTTGGTGAGCCAAGCTATGAGTTGTGGCTGATCAAAGAATCAAAATAAGTACTAGATTTTAGGAAAATCGGAACTCTTGTGGGCAACATTATCGTACTCACCACGAAAATATTGACAAAATTTATGTCCAGGATTACGAGCAGTCGATGTGAAACGTTCGCTTTTAATGAGATGCAACCAAGTGCTGAGTTCCCGTCCAGTAATAAGTCAAAAATCAGAGTCCTCGGTATTCTGCTCTTTTTAGAAATGAATGTTTTTTCGATGTCTCTCAAAATCCTGAAAGAAGCCTGAATTCCCGTGAGATGAGCGACATACGGTTTATCGTCAGCAGCCACAAGTAAAAGTTAGATATGACAGGCGAAATATGTTGCTCGTTTTGCAGACAACCGAAAACATTGCGAACAAACATCGAATTTCTAATGGTAGGTGTTAATTGGAGATAGAGAGTGGTACTTATGAGAAAGTAACAGTCGTTCGGGTAGCTTTCGATCCGAAAGCAAGCGAAAGTAGACAACAACTCGGGCAAACTTCAACTGTGAACAAAAGCCGAACATGCAATGATTGGTGCTAGCTGGAAATACGCTTAAGATCGAAGGACTTGACATAGTTAAGCCTGACTTGCGAGTCCGAATAAAATAACTATCACAGGATTCCCACTTTAACTGTAGCTGTCAGATTTTGATAAGTGATAAAGAGAACCGACAGAGTAGGTGATAGCGATTGTCAACTGCATCCAATGGCGGCAAGGATAGCGATGACTATTCTACGAACCTCTTAGATATAAGCTGGCGACAATTGAAATCAACATCAGCAGTTAGCCATCGGAATGAATCATGGAACAGTTGATTTTCTGTTGACCACTTACCAAAAGTACCAAGATCGCTCAGTAATCTCAAAGCCCCTGCCACCAACCTCAAATCTTCCACCACCTAATCTCAAGCGCCAATTACCAACCTCAACCCTCCACCCTCAGCATCAACTCCAAATCGGTCTCACAGTGAGTGATATTATTTCATAGTGGACAATTATGTGTGAAATATTACCAAGATACACAAGACGAGGTTTACGCAGAAAGGAAACGAAATGGGGGAAAACGCACTTGAGCAGCAACAGCATCCAGAAAACAAGTTGTACTGATGCTGCGCGGACAATTCATCAACTGAAGTTAACTTTAGAAAACGGAAAAGAATTTTCGTAAGATGGCTCATCCATCATTTGCAAGGAGCTGCGCGCATCGTTATACGAAGTGACAGCCTAAACGCATGCCGGCACTCCCCTGATCATCGCAGGGTCGCGAAGCAAGTAACTAATTTGACTAACTCGTTTAGCAATGTGTCCAGTACTCACACCTGGTGCAGTGGTCACCTATGGTCAGCGCGTCTATTCGAGCAGCAGTGGGTTCCTGTATGCCACTAAGGTAAATCGGGTGACGGTGGTTAGGTGTGAGTTGGTGCAGTTATGCATTTATAGCTAGTGGATACCTTAGTCAAAGAAGTTAAAACCTTTCATATTCGCTCCCTACATAAAGTGGAAGAATTCGATAGCAACCGAAAAAAAAGCGATGTCAAGAGCAATCATTCCCTGTGGTAAAGCCATTTGTTACTTTTTCTTCCGAGGGTTACTTAGAAGCAAACAAACGGTAATCTCTCCTTACATATTTTAGTACAGCATTACTATCGAAAAGAATGATTGGACTGTAGAACTCCCTGGCAACTTCTTCAGCTAATAGAAGACAAAGTTTTTTTTTAAGCCAGTCGGAAGGTATACCAGCACGTTTAACAAAATTATATTCAGAGAAGTTGAAAATTTTTTATGCCAAGAAAATCCAGACTTTTCGGTCGGGAGGAGTGGCTGAGGGCGTTCCTTTATAGATGATACTGGGATGCGCCAAAACGGCAGGAGCAGCTGTGCAGAACCTTCAGGTAGTAGTCATCACCTCCTCAGTTAGTACCAACACCACCATTATCTCTTTGCCCAAATGATTATTTACTTCACGGAGGTACCATGCATTAACGCACAATGTCCAACAGCTGTCGCCAAAACGAGCAATATGCCCTACTTATAGGACTTCACTTTTTCGCGTAGCCGCAATGATCCGCATTAGTTGAAAATTTTTATCTATCAGACGGAGTAAAAGAAATGGATGAAATCCTGTGCTCGCAGTTGAAACTCACTGAACTGAAAAAAGTTTGGTCATTCAGAATTCAAAAGTGGGCGACTGAACAAGGGAATGTAAGCAGTGCTGGGATTGCACTTCTAAGATTCAACTCTTCGTTAGGATGTGCTTCTTCTCTCTGTTAACTGCTCTTTTTTACTTTTGCGATTGACGACACTTCGTCGCCACCTCAAAGAGTCTAAATTAATAAGTGGCGATGTTGTGCGCTGACGCACTCGAGCATTTTTGCTCGTTGTGTAACTACGCTAAAAGGAACCTTACAAGATATGTAAAAAAAGAACTACCACTGCAAATTCGGAAGCTCTCTTTTTTTTGTCGAAAATTTTAACATGTAAAAAAAATTATGTTACAAATTCGTAGGCTTTCATATTTTTTTCTTGCAGGCAATTTTTACAACCCAACTGAGTTCCACTTAATCATTCTCAATTTCGAGATTTTATCGACCTACTGCAGCCTCACAATCCTCCTGTCACACGCTTGCTTTTCAGATTCGAGAATTCCTGAGATCTTGGTCCGACGATTAGAAGATTTTCAAGAAGGCGCTATGTCAAAAGCTTTTCTGAGGAGATCTGCTGATAATTCTTAATTTCCGACGG